AATTAAAAGAATCATATCACAGTGACATATAGCAGCACAGTTTGTAATAGCTAAAACTTGGAAACAGGCCATTTGCCCATCAATTGGAGACTGGATAAAGAAGATGTGGTTTTTCTATAAAATGGAATACTACTCAGTCATAGAGAATGAGAAATTAGAGTCATTTATAGGAAAATGGAAACATATTGAGGATATACTCCTAAGTGAAATAAATAAGTCATACATGTGTAAATACCAAACAGTTTTTCTGGTGTGAAAAACTATAATGCTACATAAGATCCTAATGGTATAATTGACAGTGTGAAGTAGGAAGAACAGGGCTAAAAGGTGTAGGGACAGTGGGAATGGTAGGAGAAAGGAAATAAGGGAAAAGAAAGAAATGTGTTAAAATGAAAAAATGGAAATAAAGTGTTTGTAAATTGGGAAGGGAAGAGGGGTGAAGGGAGGGCAGGGACAAGGGGAAAAAAATGAGATCCAAGAGCTGTCATGTAAAGGTACAAGATCCCAATGATGAGTGCATCTGTACTTTATACCTAAAATGTACCAATAAACTCAATGAGAAAAAAAATTTTAAATAAAACATTTCTTTCTATTTTTCAGATCACAAAATAGAATTTTGTGGCTCTGAATGTATTCCCATCTTTATAATTCCTCAATATTGCCACAACCTATTTCCCTTATACTGTGTCCCTACTGTCTAGCATCTTTCCCACATGCATACATTAAACTGAGCTCTTTTTTTTTTAACAGAGCTGAGTGGGAAGTGCAGAGAGCTTCTATGTACTACTGCACCCACACTCACATAGCCTCCCACATCACCAATAACTACATCGATGACTACATTTATTACAACTCACGAACTTACCCTGACACAGCACGTTCACCTCAAATGTGTAGTTTACATGAGGGTTTATGCTTGGTGTTGTACATTCTGCGAGTTTAAATAAATGTGCGATGACACCTATCCCTCATTATAATATGAACTACAGGCAGAGTTGTCCCACTGCACTAGTTCTAATCCGCAGTGCTTCGCTTATTCATCCTTTCCTTCTGCAACCATTGTTCTGGATTGAACCTATGGATTAGTGAGAGGCCAAGGATATCCCGTAATCATTGAGGGTACATCGCATATGCCAAAGGAATTAATCAATAAAGCATCACCTAGCACCCATGGCTGTCGGGGCCCAAAGGGATCAACATCATGCACAAAATACACTCTGAATGTTGTTGAGGATTTCATGTCAGTTCTCATGGTCTAGAACCTGCAGTAGCCACCACTGTGTCACACTAGGCTTCTTCCATTCTCCAATGGAGTTCTCACATCCAAGCTTAATTTTCTGTGTAGCCATCTGATCTAGTCTTGTCTATTCTCTCACCTTCTTCCATTCATCTTCACAATAGCCTAAATGCTGGAGATCTGTCTGGACTCTCATATTAGCTGCTCCCCTGAAACTCTTGCTTTCAGTCTTGCCCACCTCTGTTCAGCTCAGTGCATCGCTTCAGCAAGCGTATGCATGCTGTTAGCGAATGAAAACTGTGGGAAAAGAGAGGATATTCTTTTTAGCATCATTTTTCTGGCACCTAAATATGTCCAGTGTTACATTCAGCATTTTCATCTGGTATAGGGATCAGGAAAGGGAACAGATGTTAACAAAAACTCTGGTCATAGGTCTGGGTCTCCTGTGAGTCAGTACGATGTCCAAAAGATAGGAAGGTGGGAAATAAAGGCACTGAGACAGAGAGTTGAGAAAAACTGAGTCTTGAGCTGATCTAACCTGCTCTGGGCAGCGAAGACAAAGAATTCCTAGGACATTCAGTGTTTACTCATTACAAGTGTGGGAAGGGGGAAACTGGGCAGGCCCTGGGACACCTGCTGATAACAAGTATCAAGCAGGCAGGACTGCAGAATGAGTGCACAAGCCTATCTTTGCTGAAGAGAACAGGCAGTTAATTCAGAAAGGAAGAATTTAGCTGGAACCGAGTTGACCTTGGCTGGAAGTGAACTTAGCTCGTTGGACTATTTCCAGTGTAACACAGCCAAATTATGAAGGAGCAAGAAGCTTGTGCCTCTACAGCCTGCTGTCTGGCTCCCTACACACACAGAAACAACCTCTTGGAAATTTTATAATGAGCTTTTGTTGTATGTTTTCTTCTCTAGCTTTTTTTAAAGATACACTTTTGAAGGGCTGGGGATTTGACTCATTTGCTCCTTGCTTGCCTCACAAGTGCTTGAACACTTGGTCCTGAGTTCAATCCCCCATACTTCAAAAAAAAAAAAAAAGAAAAAAGAAAAAGATAACACTTTTGAAAGGATACAAAACTTATGCTTTAGACAAACCTGGAACATTTATTTTCACCTTCCCTTCTGATTTACCTTCTTGATAAGCAAATATTAGGTCTGAATCTCACTTCATGAAATCCCAAACAGTGTAGCTGTCTTTTTATTGCTTGAAAATGCAGTTTTAATATTGACCCATCTGGTAACCTTGGGTTTTTCCTATTTTACATCTTTTCTTTCCTTTGGTCATTTGTCTATTTATTAGTGTTATATTCAATAGATACAGTACTCAGATTTTCAGTTTTCCTTGTTTATTTTTAACTTTTTGGAAGACTTATTATATCTTTGTCTCTTCATGGAATGTTAGAAATACAGAAACATGTAGTTTCACAGGTGTTCTTTGTCATGGAAGTGTCTTATTTCCCCATCCATTTTGAAAGAGAGTTTTGCTGGATACATCAGTCTAGGTTGGAGGTTGTTCTCTTTTAGTACTTCAAATATCTCATTCCAGGCTCTCCTTGCCCTAAGGGTTCATGTTGAAAAGTCTGCTGTGATTCTGATGGGCTTTCCTTTGTGTGTGACTTGTTGCTTATCTCTTACTGCTTGTAGTATTTTGTTCTTCTGTTGGGTTTGTGGTATCTTGATTATTATATGTCTAGGTGTATTTTTTTTATTTAGCTAGTTGGGATCCTATATGCCTCAGTTATCTGAATGTCAAATTCTTCCCCTTTGTTTGGGAAGTTTTCTGTCATTAATTCTGCGAACAGCTTTTTAAAGTCATTTGTATTTTCTCCTGCTACTTCATGTATTCCTATCAGTCTTATGTTATTCTTCTTTGCATCATCTAGGAATTGTTGGATCGATTTCTCATGATCTCTTACTGTTTTTAAGAGACCTCTCT